CGCTTCTCCGGCCATGCTGGGGCCGTGTCCCACATACAGCAACTGGAAGGATGTGCAGCTATGACATACAACTATCTACTGGGGCTTTGGGGGGAAAATAAATAAATAAAATCTTAAAAAAAAAAAAAAAAAAGAAGTAATTCTTCAGAAAGAAGGAATATGATATAGGTCAGAAACTCAGCTCTACATAAAGGAAGAAGAGCTTTAGAGAAGGAATAAACGAAGGTAAATAGATTCTTTTATTCTTCTTATTCTTAACTGATCTGACACTTAAGTTTGTTCAAAATAAATGAGTACAGCTCATAGATAAGTGAAATGAAAGGAATGTTATAAAGGACGATGAGGAGGAATTGGAAATACTGTATTACAAGGTACTTACCATACTCATGGAGTGGTATGGTGTTATTTGAAAGAGAACCTGGATTATTTGTAAATAAGTATATTGCAAACTCAAGGCAAGCACTAAAAATGTAATGCAAGTATAATCGATATACTAAGAGCGGAGAAAAAATGGAATCACATAAAACCCAGTTAAAACCAGTGGGAGAGAAAGAGGGAAACACACAAAAAAAGAAAAAAGAAGAGCAATAAAACCAGTAGCAAATATAGATCTTAATCCATCTATGATAATAACTACTTTAAACATCAATGATCTAAATATACCAATTAATTGAGGAGAAGACAAGCCAACACTGGGAAAAATATTTTCAAGACATCTGATAAAGGACTGTTATTTAAAATATAAGAACTCTTAAAACAGAACAGTAAGGGGCCAGTAAGGGAACAGTGGCACAGAGGTTAAGTGGGCGCCCTGTTGTGGCAGCCCGGGGTTCACAGGTTTGGATCCCGGGCGCGCACCGACGCACCGCTTGTCAAGCCATGTTGTGGTGGCGTCCCATATAAAGTAGAGGAAGATGGGCACAGATGTTAGCTCAGGGCCGGTCTTCCTCAGCAACAAGAGGAGGATTGGCATCGGATGTTAGCTCAGGGCTGATCTTCCTCACACACAAAAAAGAAAAAAACATAACAGTAAGAAAATGAACTACCCAATAAAAAAATGGTTAAAAAAACCTGAACAGACACCTCACCAAAGATATACAGATGGCAAAGAAGCATCTGAAAAGATGCTCACATTTTATGTCATTAAGCAATTGCAAATTAAATCTATGGTGCTACTATACACCTATTAGAGTGGCCAAAATCCAAAGCACTGACACCAGCAAATGCTGGTGAGGATGTAGAGCAACAGAAACTTTCATTCATTGCTGGTGGCAATACAAAATGGGACAGCCACTTGGGAAGACAGTTTGGCAGTTTATCATAAAACTAAACATATTTTTTTTTTGGAAGAAGATTGGCCCTGAGCTAACATTTGTTGCCAATCTTCCTCTTTTTTTCTCCCCAAAGCCCCAGTAGATAGTTGTATGTCATAGTTGTACATCATTCTAGTTGCTGTACGTGGGATGCCGCCTCAGCATGGCTTGATGAGTGGTGTGCAGCTCCAAGCCCAGGATCCGAACTGGTGAACCCCATGCCACTGAAGCGGAATGTGTGAACTCAACCACTACACCACCAAGCTGCCCTCCAAACTAAATATACTCTTATCACAAGATACAGAAATCACACTCCTTGGTATTTACCCAAAAGAGTTGAAAAAATATGTCCACACAAAAACTTGCGCATGAATGTTCAGAGCAGCTTTATTCATAACGGACAAAATTTGGAAGCAACCAAGATGACCTTCAAAAGGTGAATAGAAAAAACAAGTTGTGGTACATTCAGACACTGGAATATAATTCAGTGCTAAAAAGAAGTAAACTATCAAGCCATGAAAAAACATGAGAGGAACCTTAAATGCATATTGCTGTGAAAGAAGTCAATCTGAAAAGTCAATCAAAATTGTTTGATTCCAATTATATGACATTCTGAAATAGACAAAGCTATGGAGACAGTAAAAAGATCAGTGGTCAGAGATTGGGGGGAGTGTTGAATAGATGGAACACCGGGGATTTTTAGGGCAGTAAAACTATTTTATATGACTATAATGGTGTGTATCATACATCAAAACCCACAGAATGTACAACACAAAGAGTGAACCCTAATGTAAACTGTGGGCTTTGAGTGATAATGATGAGTCAATGTAGGCTCAACAGATGTACCTCTCTGGTGCAGGATGTTGACAGCAGGGAAAATGGTAAGGGAGGGGCAGAGGAGGAATATTTGGGAACACTGTACTTTCTGCTCAATTTTTCTGAAAGCCTAAGACTTTGAAAAAATTTTAAAATCTATTAATAAAACAAAACCAAGCTATTCTATATAGCTAAATACTTGAAGCAGCAGTAGCAGTCACTTTTTGGCTAACCTCAAGTACACAATCGCAACACTCCTATCTGTACTCAAGGCATCAGGCAACACTGAGGGTAGCTAGGAGACGATACAGCCATGATTGAGATGCAAGTCAGTTTAACTGTGGGCTCCCCACCATTCATTCTTTATTAAGACATGGCCCATTCAAAAGGAACGACGCGTTCACACCAGATTGCTTCTTTTTCTTCATTGTATTGAATCTCCTCATCATCTTTCTATTCCTATAAAGCAAGTCAGAAAAGAATTTTGAAAAATTGTTGGAATAAGATAAACCGTTCGTTCTATACCAACATGTTGAAAATGACAAATAAAATAAGGAATCCCTTTCTGGAGTTCCTGAGTAGTTTGCCCCATCACCTAAGGATAGTGGGTAAAAAGATTTTATGTAGTAAACAAAGGAACAAGATTGTCCGCTCATCCTCAGGGCTCATATTCTGTATGCTACGGTAGGTTCCACTTCCTTTATCTTTATACTCTCCCGTCCCTTCCCACAGCTTCTGGGCACATCCCCTCTCTGTTCACACATGCTAATGGGGTTCTCATTAAAAAATAAAAAGAAGAGAAAGAGAAGGAAGGAAGAAAGCAGGATGCAAGCAAGCTCCCTTGATATTTCTGTCTCAACTAATTGCTATCTCCACCTCCTTGGCCCAGGTGGTAGAGATTATCAATATGTCCTGTTCTCAGTTCTTCACATGTTCTACTCCAACTTATCAATCACATTTCTGCTTCTCCTGACCCTCTCAACCTACTGTCAAAAAGGCCACCAATGGTGTCCCAAATTGGCATTCCCAACAGTACTGCAATATTCATAATCTTACATGGCCATCTCACTGCCAACATTTCCTTCTAAAACTCTGCCCACAGCTTCTTTTCCTCATTTATCTCCCAACTTCTAATTGTATACTTTTTCAGTCTCCATTGCCCACCAGCCATTGATACGCTGGTTCACTTTAGGTTCTTTCCTAGGTCCCTTTGAATTCCTACATACTCATATGTACAATTTATATGCTGATGACTCCCAAAGATGTTTATCTCTAACCCACATTCTCAGAACTCTAGACCCTTGTCAAGCACGTCCCACATACCACACATTCTTCACCACTGATCTGGACTTCTACCTTTCCTCCATCCAATAGGACAGCATCCTGTTCCCTTTACTCCTACACCTCTTCAATTTCTCCCATTCCTCTTAAATTCTTTGCCAAGGTCCTAAGTTATATCTTTACAGAATTATTACAGTAATCTACTACTTATCTTCCAATCTAGTCTCTGTTGAGAAATTATTCCATTTTCTAAAAAAAAACAACTTAGTTTCCCTCCACAACTGTCTCACATCACCTCCACACAATTCCATCACCAAAAGCTGAATTTTGTACTCATGAAGGGACATTACGAGTTCTACGATTCATATAAAATCCATGGCAGTGTTTATGTGTATGCCCAATGTATATTTTCTTAGAGAAGGGTGTGTAGTTATCATTAGATCTCAAAGGAGTCTGTGTCCCAAAAGTGACTGAGAAATAATGACCCACATGACAATATGTGAGACCTTTATACAGATATAAAAGATTCCATGGTCTGCCTCTCCCTTTCCCAGGCTTATTTCTCAACATAAGCTTCAATAATATTGACCTATTTGCAGTTTATAAGTATGTCATATTTTTTCATTTCTGTGTGTTTGTATGGGCTATTTCCATTACCAAAATGCTGAAATTATTATTTTCCAACCGGTAGGCTCTTCCTCAGTACATCTGAAGCTTGCCTAAGCGGCTCCAATATAAGTACTATCCATACATTTTTACAGCATCTCTCACTCATTTTCATTCCAGTATGCTACATGGATTTTGTCTTACTAAGTTTTGTATCCTCTGCTAAGTGTCCAACATGGTAAGAACTCTAATGTTTTTTTTCTTTTTCTTAAAAATGGTCTCTAAAATTGAGGCAGTTAAGGTCTTAATTTGTCAGATACTTTGTTAAGTTTCCTAAGAAGCCACATTTATCTGAGTTCTAATCCACCACTAAGTTCTTTTCGCTTCCTATTTTTGCCTGATATATATGGCAAATTAAGAAAACAGCATGTTTGTCCTCTGCCTTCTCCTACTAAATTATTCAGAAACCCAATTAGATATCTACTTTTCTGTGGGCCATGCTTAGAAAGATACTTAAGAGTTACCTCTGAGCGCACTCAGGACATAACATATTATCTTCTAGGTCTGGGGGTGGGAACGTGCAGGCTGGTAGCAAGAAGAGGGAGACCATCTTTCTGGGAGTGTCGGGTACCCAGGTCTGACCTGCACGGAAGTGCAGGCGAACCCAACCCTGTGTGTCTGCCCAGAGAGGTCTGCCATGGACCACACACCACCTGACACCTGGGGAGGGAAAGAGAAGGAAATATAAATAGCTAAGATCAAGTGACAGCGCCTAATCCAACCTCTCAGAAAGTCACTCTTTTTTTTTTTTTTTTTTGGGAGGAGATCAGCCCTGTGCTAACATCCACCAATCCTCCTCTTTTTTGCCGAGGAAGACGGCCCTGGGCTAACATCCGTGCCCATCCTCCTCCACTTTATATGGGACGCCACCACAGCATGGCTTGCCAAAGCAGTGCGTCGGTGTGCGCCAGGGATCCGAACCAGCGAACCCCGGGCCGCCGCAGCGGAGCGCGCGCACCCAACCGCTTGCGCCGCCAGGGATCCGAACCAGCGAACCCCGGGCCGCCGCAGCGGAGCGCGCGCACCCAACCGCTTGCGCCACCGGGCCAGCCCCAGAAAGTCGCTCTTGCTTTTGCCCTTATATTCTATTGATGAATCAAGTGAATGAGAAACATGAAAAATCTAGATCAGGGCCGGCCCGTGGCTTAGTGGTTTAGTGCGCGCGCTCCGCTGCTGGCGGCCCGGGTTGGGATCCCGGGCGCACACCGACGCACCGCTTCTCTGGCCATGCTGAGGCCGCGTCCCACATGCAGCAACTAGAAGGATGTGCAGCTGTGACATACAACTATCTACTGGGGCTTTGGGGGAAAAATAAATAAAATTAAAAAAAAAAAGAAAAATCTAGATCAAAAGACACTATTGTCTAACTTCACAAATTATATAGCATGGGGGGTAATAACAATTAACTTTTTGGAATGCTTGCTTTGTGCCTAGGATTTTGCTAAGTGGTTTACATGTATTAATACATTTATTTTTAACATTATTAATATTTACTTTGTATTTATTTTTCTTACTTACAGGTAAGGTAACTGAAGCTTATGGGGTTAAACATCATAATTTTCCCAGAACCAAGACATGGACCCAAGTATTCTGATTCACAGCCAGTTCACCAAACCATAACATTGTACTGCCTCAGCTATAGAAAACAGGCAAAAGGGTCTTTGTTTAAAAGTATAAGGAACAATCTAATTGGCAAGATGGGATATTGCAAGAAAATAAGGTAAGTTCTAAAGACATCAAGTATCTGAAATTGAAAGAAGGAGCAGTCACTGTCGGCTTAAATATCTATAAATACATAGTATTTGCAGTGTTCTGTCTACCTAGTCAGACTGTAAGATGAGAGTAGAGATTATGCGTGTTTAGCACAATATACCTAGAGCTAGGCACACTCCTGGAGTAGGTGCTTAATAACTGCTGAATGAATAGGAACTAAAAGGATGAGTAAGTGTGGGATGCCACTAGCTCATATGGCACATCAATGAAAATTAGAAAGTGGAGTCATTTTTGGGGAGGCGGTCCTCCAGACACAACTTTGTGGCTAGACAGCGCTTTTGCAAATTAGCAAAAGGTGCCCATTCCTCCTCACAGAAGGAGTGCAGCTTGAGGAGAAGACAGCAGGCCAACTTGAGATCCTGGTCTTCCTTTCGGCTGGGTTCCTTGTGTAGTGAACAATGTGCCTTACCATACAAGTCACCTCTGAATAAAAGAGGATCCAGAACACTTCTGGGAATGGGGTGGAGAGAGGAAAAAAATTCAAGCCAGAAAGGAGTGACTTTGTGCTGGCCTGAGATACGGTCTGCTGGAGATGAAAACAAAAATACCAAGGAGAGGGGGCAGGAGTTGGAGAAGCGTGGTGCTAAGTTATTCTCAAGATTTCTTAAGAGGACAAGGACCCCAAACATTTTAATTATTATTGCCTACTTTTGATGTGCCAAGTTGAATCTACGCAGTAGGACAGTTGTAATCTTCATGTTACAAATCAGGATAACTGGGCTTAAGGTATGTAACTTGCCGAGGCCATATACCTAAGAAGTGGTAAGACAAGGATTCCAACCAAAGCTATTCAGATCTAAGCCCCACACTCTTGTTCACTGTGATGAAGGCCTTGAAGAAGGGTGAGAGGGGAAGACCTCAGGCTGCGGCTGACCCCATTATCAGATTATGCTTTCTTCCCACCTTGGAATCCTGTTTAGTGATGAGAAACGGTCACTTCTCAATCACCTGGCTTCCAGATCCATTCAGGCAAATCTTGGCTATCTGTCAATCAAATGATAAGCCCTATATGAACCTAACATCCAATCTACAGACACTTGCACTAACTCTTTCCCTTTTACTACCTCTCAGCATTGGACTAACACAAGTTAACCTTCTTTCTCTGGAATGGTACTCACTCTTTAAGGTTGATCTTACCAGAGGCTTGTGGCAGAAAGGTCTCGGCAGAAGTAGGAATGGGACGAGAATTCATAGCCTTCGGTTGAACGGCTCTGGCAGCAATTCTTGCCCATGCTGCCAACATGGCTTCCTGCGCTGAAGTGATCACTTCAACTGTATTAGTCCCTTCCTCTCTCTCACTCTTCTTACTTTTCCTAACCCTTGCTCTCTTGGTCTCCATCTTGCATTTCCTCGAACATGACTGCAATCGGGCCTCCTGTGATGTTTCAGGAACATTCTGCAAATGGCATTCATGATGAGTAGTCAGTGAAGTGCTCCTGCCGTTAAAGACCTTGTGTCCATTTTACAGTTCTTTATACATTGGCCCACATACATCAGCGTGGGTTTAGGGATGTTCCCTCAGAGCAATGTTTCTCAACCGGGAGAAGTTTTTAATTGTTAAAACTGTGTGTGTTGGGGCCCACCCCATGGCTTAGTGGTTAAGTGCGCGCGCTCCGCTACTGGCTGCCCGGGTTCGGATCCCGGGCGCGCACCGACACACTGCTTCTCCGGCCATGCTGAGGCGGCGTCCCACATACAGCAACTAGAAGGATGTGCAACTATGACATACAACTATCTACTGGGGCTTTGGGGAAAAAAAAAAAAGGAGGAGGATTGGCAATAGATGTTAGCTCAGAGCCAGTCTTCCTCAGCAAAAAGAGGAGGATTAGCATGGATGTTATCTCAGGGTTGATCTTCCTCACAAAAAAAAACAAAAAACAAAAGCTGTGTGTGAGTGGAGGAGGGGTACCTACTGACATCTAGTGGGTAGAGGCCAGGGATGTTTAGGCTGCTAAACATCCTAAAATGCACAGAACAGCCATCAAAACAAAAAGAAATTATTTGGCTGAAAATTTCAACAGTCTTGACTGAGAAATCTTGCCTTAGAGATACAACATATATAGAGACGGTGAGCAGGAGGAAGAATTCACACTGTCATCACACTCCTCACTCACCTGTTTTTTTTCAGAGTAAGCATGTTCCTGGAGTCTCAGATATACCTCTATTTTCTAAGAAATTAAGAGGGGAAATAAAAATTAAAAGTTGACAAGGCTTCCCATACTTTCTCCCAGCAGGGAGATTCCCAGAGCGTACTTACCTCGCCATCGGTACTCAAACTCAATTGTTGGCACCAATTCCGCAAAGTGTCCCGACGCACTTTATTAATCGGAGGCAAAATGGCCGGCAAGGGAAGGATTGGTACATTACGACTAGGTTTGGGGCAAGTTTTGAATTGTTCATTCGTTTGAGGAAGATGAACTGAGAAAAGAAGGGAACCAAAGGAGTGACAGTTTAATATTTGTAAGATTCTCTAAAATTTTACAACGTTCTGACTTATTTCTCACAGCCCAATTTGCACATATACATATCAAATATTTTTCCTCATATTAAAAATAAGGTAATAGATTCAGTGGGCCGGCCCCGTGGCCTAGCGGTTAAGTGCTTGCGCTCTGATGCTGGCGGCCAGGGTTCAGATCCCGGGTGTGCATCGACGGGCCGCTTTTCTAGCCATGCTGAGGCTGCGTCCCACATACAGCAACTAGAAGGACGTGCAGCTATGACATACAACTATCTACTGGGGCTTTGGGGGGAAAATAAATAAACAAATAAAATTAAAAATAAATAAATAAATACTGTAACTTTAAAAAAAAAAAAGGTAATAGATTCAGAAATTAAAGGATTAGCCCAAGATCACACTGCCATTAAAATGGCAGACCTGGGACTTTAACCTACATTTTGAAATTCTAAATTCTATGTTTTTTACACTATATACAGCAACCTGTTGTGTTTCTTGCAGGCATCAGCAACCACTTGGATAGAATATTATATTGAATTGCTCCTCCAAAATGTCTAGATTCTGGACTACAAAATATCAGTTCTCCCTATAGAAATCAAAGAAACCACCCCAAACAACAATGGTCCTCCATTCTGCCAGCCTGCCTCATTTTCTCTGTAGTACCCTGTTCTACCTCACTGTGCTTGGCTTTAACCCACCACGATCTACTTCATCTTGAAGTCCTTGTTGCTGGCCCAGAAAATAAAATCATTCTGAAAATACTTATTTGATGCCTTTATGTGAAGCCCCGAGAACAGATACAAAGGGTCATTATATTAAAAGCTGGTAGATATTTAATCAATAATTACTCACCAAGCAAAATACTAGATATCTTTCAAAATCATTTAGTGTTCTAAATACTGTATGATCTCATTTATATGTAGAATCTAAAAAACCTGAACTCATAGAAACAGAGAGTAGATTCATGGTTGCCGGGGGTGGGGGTGGAGAGTGGAGGAAATAGGGAGATACTGATCAATGGGTGCAATTTTTCACTTATAAGATGAATAAGCTCTGGGGAACTAATGTACAGCATGGTGGCTATTAACAATTTTATATTATATGCTTGAAAGTTGCTAAGAGAATAAATCTTAAATGTCTTCACCACAGGGGAAAAAAAAACGTAACTGTGTAAAGTGACACGTGTTAATTAACCTTATTTTGGTAATCATTTCTCAATACATACGTGTATCAATCATCACATTGTGCACCTTAAAATTGCACAATGTTGTGTGTCAATTATATCTAAGTAAAGCTAGGAAAAATTATTTAGTTAAGAGGTATGTAAAGTATGTATTAACCAAATGAAGAGAAGATTGAGATTTATGGGTTGGGAATTTGAACTTATATCTAGCTGCCCCATAAGACCATGCTAAAGCATTTGTTCAAAGCACTTCACATGCCTATTTTTGGTGCCTAGCAAATGAGAAGTATGGGAGTTTGAGAAATCTCTTACCACAGATAATCAAGGTGAGATTTAAGCTAGGTGTCGTATAGTCAAAGGATAGGGAAGAAAAAATCTTACTTTTCCTGAGCTTATCCGAGCTGGAAAGGCAGCACACTGAGCAATCCCTGTCTTCATACCTTTATCATTTGTCCTAGGGGTCTTCGGGTTGACTTCTGAAGTTGAAGAAACACTTGATTCCATTTGACGTTCTCCATTAGTTTCCTCATTAACTGGAACCAATGTGAGAATGACATTTTCTTCCTCTAATTCCTCCTCAAAAATATTCTGGAAAGAGAAGTGTCAATCACTGATTCTCATTTGATGTCATACAACTAAACTGCTTACTTTCAAGGATCAACTAATGAATAAGAAACTGAGAAGCCAGTAGGTGGATGGAGAGAAGACTTACTGAGATTCCTTAAATGTGATGTTGATTAGCAGACCCTTTAATAGATAAAGAGAAACAATGAGGAAATGAAGGGTAGGTCTTGGGTTTGGAGGAACCATTTCCCTCATGGCCTTTCCTCTCCATTAGCTAAAACACCAGCACTTTCATTTTATCACCTAAATCTGTACGGACTGCATTCCTGCCTTCCCATCTTCTATCACAGGATTCTGGTTCAAGCTGTCATCAACTTGCACTGGCAGATGCAATAATCTTCTGTTAGTCCAAAACCCATTCTGACTCCATTCTTCCTGAAGATTTCTCTCCTGCTTGTTTAAGATACTTCAATGACATATCATTGCTATTCAGGTTAAACATAAAACTCCCTCATGTAGCCTACAAGTTCCTGAAGGGTCTGGCCCCTGCCTGCCTCTCCAGCTCACAACCCTCAGGCTTTCTGAGCTCCAGCCATCCTGGCCTTATTTCAGCCCCTCAACCTGAAAGGAACAAAGGTATGTTGTACTCTCTGTTGCAATCACAGTAACTAACACAGGACCCAGCAGAGTGGGCACTCAGTGTTCCTTTAATGATCTAATGAATGAAAGAGAAAGGGGATAGGCTTTTATTAGTTTTCCTATTTTACAAATTAGGCAACTGAGTCTCAAAAATTAAATGACCAGTGACATAGAGTAACATATGCTTGAGTTTCTGAACTTAGCCTTTCCTCTCAAATCCAAGGGTGAATAAACTCCATTCCAGCCCTCTTGTAACACTCTCTTGCCAGAACAGCAGAGTGGATCTGATACAGCCACGCCCCTCCCCCTATTTAAATCTCTTCAATGGCTTTCCATTGCTCTCACAATCTTAGTTTGCATATGGGGATTTTGCATTTGTATACTGCTTTTTCAAAGCACTCTCACACACATTCACTGCTCGGCTTCAAAAAAAAAAAATTGACATTATTGGGGGACTATTACTCCACTCTAGAGATAAGTGGGGCTCAAAGCAGCTGTACCACTTGCCTACAATCATATGCTTAGTACGTACCGTCCAATTCAGTCCTCTAGCCTGGTGCAGTGATCCCTGCCTGTAAATACCTATGAAACCTTCTCAACTTATTTTTTTCTTCCAGTCCAGGACTACCCAAGCCTAGTCTGGAAACCCACTTGGTACCAAGGCCATTGGGAGGAGGTTACTTCTTACTCCTGGAGGAAATAAACCAAATGGTCACTTCACTTTCTGGCCCTCTTCACATTAGCCTTTTCCACTTTCTTTTTACCATAGCTCTCCATTTCTTTATTTTCTTTCTTCCTTTATTTTATCTTGCCCAGTTACAACATGTCTGTCTACAAAATAAATCTCTTACTTTGGACGAGGAACGGGAATCTTTACTCTCTCCTTTTTACTCTCATCCAGATATACACAGAACCACAATCACATGAAAGACCAGTAACAATCCACTTGCAAAGAGGAAGGGATTCCAAGATGGAGACTTCTTAAATCCAGAAATTAAGATTCGTAGCAAGAGGAAAACATAAACCAGCTCTAGAAAGGCTTTAAAAAGTGAATCTGGGGGAAAATTAATTCATTTGAACTAAACTTACCTTCTCGCTGCCATCGTAATTTGAGTTTGCCATTTCCAGGAACACTCAGAGGAAGGCAAAGTCAGCGATGTTAAGGAATCTGCAGTTTTCTCCTTTTAACCTGAGGGTTTCTAGCCTGATTTCTCCTTTTATAAGCAAATGTCTCCTTCTACTTCCTGTTTCCCAGAAGCGCTGTTTGCCTTCCTCCCTTTTTTCCCCTCCCTCATTATCTGACAGTGTGATCATTTCATTAGTTTTATACTGTCTTGTCTATTAGGTGAGAGCTGATTTATTGAGTAATTAATATCACTCCCAATATTTAAAAAAGAAAGGTTTTTGTCTTTATTCCTTTAAGGTGAGACTTCGGAGAAAAATGGAAGTGACAAACTCTTGCTGACAAGTTACAATTGACTAAACAATATTTTTTAACATTTCTAGGGCAATATTAGTGATGGGTTAAATGATGTTATTATGGAAAGAATAGAAAAAATATTCAGAGGTATTTTATAACTGATTTATGCCTATGGGTGTGTCACTCACTGAGAGATTAGATTTAAATTGTTGGGATTGGATAACATAATCTCTCTTGGATCTAATTCTAAACAGAAATATTAAACCTGCCATACTGGTGAGCTGGGTAGAAGGCAAGGGTTTGGCTGTTCAGAATAGGAGCTTTAATACCAAAACATTAAGGCAAGTGAGGGACTAATAAAAGCAGAAAGAGTGTAAGCGCTTGGGAATTACTGAGGCATAATGTTGGAGGCAGGATGTGACAAGAGATGAGGCTGGCGAAGTCATAGATGTTTTCATAGGTCCTTCTATGGAGCCAGAGCTACTAAAGGAAAATATCATTCACAAGCAATATGGCAGCACTGGCATCCAGTGCTCTCACAGTAGGGTTTCTCTGCCCCTAGGAAAATGATCTGGACCGTCAGTCTCAGGACCCAGGGAGGGGAGCCCAGGTCAGTTTAATTTAGTGTTATACTATAATCAAAGTGTGGTCTGCAAGGGCTCAGCTTCAGTTTACTGAAGAACTGGTTGGAAAAACAAATTGTGAGACTCTACTCCAGACCTCCAGAATGGGATCTTTGAGGGCAGGACCCAAGAACCTGTACTTCAACAAGCCCTCAGGGTAATTCTTATGCACCTAAAGTCTAGAAGCAGGGGCTGGATCAGGGTGTGGCCAAAGAACTTTGGATTAGGCAGAGAATGGTTGGAATCCTGGCTCCTCCCTTCCAGGATGGAAACTATATCGGCCCATGGAGATTCAGCCAAGGAAGCACTCCTTCTACCCACTTGGGTGTGGCCCCATCTGATGGGTTTTTTCTGCATGATTTAGAGGGGAGCTGAACTGATCCCAGTGCCTCAGGCTAGGACAGGACTGCAAGTGGGAAGACCATTTCATTACCATATTTTCTTTTCTTCTTTGCATGTTTTACAATATACTTTTTTTTTTTTTTTTTTTTTTTAAAGATTTTATTTATTTTATTTTTCCCCCCAAAGCCCCAGTGGATAGTTGTGTGTCGTAGCTGCACATCCTTCTAGTTGCTGTATGTGGGACTCGGCCTCAGGATGAACGGAGAAGTGGTGCCTCGATGCGCACCCGGGATCCGAACCCGGGCCACCAGCATCGCAGCGCGCGCACTTAACCACCAAGCCACAGGGCCGGCCCTGTTTTACAATATACTTACCTGATTTGTTTTCTTGGCTTTTTTCTCTTGCTTTTTGAAAATGTTATATTGTGGAAAAGTTCAAACATGTACAAAAGCAGACAATAATATCACAAATCCTCGTGTATCTGTCATCCAGCTTCAACAACTATTGACTCCTGGTCAATCTGATTTTTATCTAAACCACCACCTATTTCCCCTCCCCTGGGTTATTTTGAAGGAAATATCTGACCTTATATCATTTCATTCATACATTCAGGAAAAAAAAAAACAAAAGAGTGTTTCTAACTATAATTACATCTTTTTCTTATCTAAAAATAATTTTAAATAACTAACATTATCAAACTATCCAGTCTGTTCAAAAATTCAGCTGTATTTAAATATCCAATTGTCTCACATATTTTCTCTCATTTTCTTGTTCTAACAATCTGTTTGAATTAGGATCCAGATAACGTCTACACATTGTGATTAGTTGTGTACCTTAAATTTTCTTTAATCTATAAATTCTCCCTCCATTTTTTATTTTCCTTACAATTTTTTGCTGTTGTCCTTGTTGTCATTAAAAGAATTGTGTGAATTTCCAGTAATTTCCTATCTGAATTTTGCTAATTTTATTTATTCCTGTGTTTAGCCTATTCTTCTATCCTCTGCATTTATTGTAAATTGGTTTGATCAGATTCAGGGATGGCTTTTTTTTTTTTTAACAAGAACACTCTTTCCCTCCCTCTTCATTCATCTGACTCCTCTTTCTTTAAACTTATATATATATATATTTTAACTTAAGTATATTTTACGTATAACATTGTGTAAATTTAAGGTGTACAACATGTTAATTTGATACATTCGTATATTGTGATACTGTTGCCACTGTAGTGACAATTAGCATCTCTATCATGTTCTTTAAGCTTAAACGCCAGCTTCTTGGAGTGACTCTGAGTTTGCTCCTGTTATTTGCTCCCTCTTTTCCTTCATAGAGTTTATTTGAATGTGTAATTCTGTATATATTTGGGATTTTACTTGTTTAACTTCATCTCCCCAATTAGACAGCAGGCTCCAGAGAGCAATGGCCAGATTTATTTGGGTCACCCTTGGTCTACCCAGACCCTTGCACTGTGTCTGGTTCCAAATAGAGGCACAATCAATGCTAGTTATTCAGACTGCATCAGCCTCCACCTTTCCCCCACAGCCCACCCAATCCCCTTTTGAGTAGATGTCCTTCTCTGTGCTGCTGCTAAAGGATGTGGTGTCAATGCTGATCACAGACTGACATGACTCTCTCCTACCAGACTGTGACGCTCTGAAATTCTCAGACTCATCTTTATTCTCCTGACGCTCAGCACAGTGCCTGGCTCAGAGAAGGATCTTAATTAGGTACAACAAATGACTCTAAATCATATTACACTAACTTTAGTTTGGGGCTTGGTATATACCTCAAAGCTCAAAAGCAGCCACTGTAAGGATGCAAAACTATAAAAAATAACCTAGGCTGTAGGATAGAGATTTAAAAAAGAAAGAAAAAATTGTTGGGCCGGCCCGGTGGCTTAGCGGTTAAGTGTGCGCGCTCCGCTACTGGCGGCCCGGGTTCGGATCCCAGGTGTGCACGGACTCACCACTTCTCTGGCCATGCTGAGGCCGCGTCCCACATTCAGCAACTAGAAGGATGTACAACTATGACATACAACTATCTACTGGGGCTTTGGGGAAAAAAAAAAGGAGGAGGATTGGCAATAGATGTTAGCTCAGAGCCGGTCTTCCTCAGGAAAAAGAGGAGGATTAGCATGGATGTTAGCTCAGGGCTGATCTTCCTCACAAAAAAAAAAAAAAGAAAAAATTGTTAATGAACACGTGTTCTAATATTTATTCTAATAATAGACAGTAGTTCTGAAATAAAAATGCATTTTCTATTTCAAAAATATTTTGTATACTATAAGTTAAATATTTATAAATGCTTTGTATTTCTTACCTAGATAAGTGCTTTTCAAAAATCTTTTTTTTTTCTTTTAAATCAGAAGAATGTGCTCTCTAAGAGTAAATGTTTATGGGGCACTGAAATATAATACATAAAAGCAGAGCAACTCTGGTTGAGAAATAAAAACCCATAGGCATGCCACAGAACCCTAAAGTTCTGAGAAAGTCTGGAAACTATGATTCAGTATCACCACCAGGTGAAAGGGACAACTACTGAGTTTTTCAGTTTTCTGAGGAGAAAAATGAAAATTGCCCTGAAACATGTTCCCAACTTTGCCACAGCTGTCGTTTCAAGAAATTCCCACTTAAAAGGACTATTAAATTCATTTCTACTTTAGAGCAATAGTTACAGATCTTCACCCTCTGATAATAAATAGGCGTTTTTGCTTTTTTTTTTTTCTTTTGAAAAATAATCTCTTCTGCATCATGGAGCAACAGCCACTATTAGGATCTTAAATTCAGAATTCAGATGAGTAAGGTCTATGCTCCTCTGATCTGTATAACTCAGAGGAGATGGTCAGGACAGAGCATGGCAGTGATGCGGAGAGGAAGTGGGAAGGGCAACTTTTGATGACTAGACAGGAAATTGATTTGGCTGTAGATTCTCCAATAATGGTTGCAAATTTAGGCGTAGCCCCACCGGCAAGTGTTCTTGGCTGGTCAAACCAAGTCCTTTCTCAGCCTCCTCTTCGCATATTGAATGCATATTGCATTTTCATAAGATCCATGGCCTATGAGACAAATGGAATATGTGTTAAACACATTGGAGTTGGAAAGCTCAGTTCATGTTGTCCACTTGAAGGGGCTGACGATTGGTGTTAAGAACTTTTGGAGCCCTGAGCAATTGCCCTGCCTTCTGAGGCAGGATGAGGAACGATGGGGACTCAGGCCAAGTAATGAAAACCCAGGCTACTCTCTCCTACGTCCCCATCGGTCACTTGTTCTTTCCTGAGTTTTCTGCCTCTCCTTCTTTACAAGTTCTTCCCACCAGCACACAAATATTTCTAAGCCTGTCCCACTTAAAAACAAAACACACACACACACACACACACACACGTCTTCTTCAACACCATCATTCTATTTAACTACTATCCTCTCCTCTCTTTCACAGTTCAACTTTCTAAACATATCTTCTTACTCTACCAAGTTTCCTTCCCTTTCTGGTCTAATGGTTTTTCCATCTCTTTTCCCCACCTAACTCCTAAAACATTGATGTTTCGTAAGGTTTATTTCTCTGCTCTCGATCATGCCTCATGCTTTCCTAAAGCGGCCTCATTCCTTTTTCCAATTTCAACTGCCACCTACATGCTGACAACTCCCATACATATGTTTCTAGCATAATCTTTTTGCCTGCATTACTAACCCAAGTTTGGGCATATCCTATTATGCACTTCAAGCATATTAAAAAATGAACTC